AAATTTACGAAAACCTGATTATTCAAAATTTATGCATCCTTGAAAATCGAGAGAGAGAGAGAGAGAAACACCACGTTTTTGCCTAAAACTCGCAAATAATTCGAAAACGGTTGAGAAATCAGGCAAATTGAAAGATGACCAATTGAAAACTTAAAATTTCCTATCAATTGCTATAGGGCGCCAATCCAAAGACGATTTCCTGCCTCCACAGCTCAATTTGAAGTTTTCGTAAAAATTGCAAAAAGTAACGTTTCCAAATTTTTTAATTTACTGATAATTGCCTGAAGCTAAGAAAGAATTTTAAAAAACCATCTTATTTAGCGTATAATTGTCTAAAAAATGGGTCTTAGCAAAGGTCTTTGTCTTAATTTGGAAAAGCATACTTTCTCAGCCTTTTTAGTCACCAACCTGCGCTAAGTACCAATTTTTAGAAAATTATACGCTGAACAAAATATTTTTTTATATGCTTTCCTAGCTTCAAACATTGCTCAGTAAATTAAAAAATTCGGGAACACGTTGATTTTTGCACTTTATACGAAAATTTCAAATTGAGAGACGATAAAAGGTCAATGTAAGAATTGTCGCTTCCCTGTTTACTTTTTTGAAAAGTCCTCGGAACAAAATTTGCAAAACGTAAAATTTGCGAAAATATGACTGTTCAAAATTTACGCATTCTTTAAAATCGAGAGAGAGGGAGAGAGAGAGCAAGAGAGAAAGAGAGCGAGAGAGAGAGAGTGAGAGAGAGAGAGAGAGTGAGAGAGAGAGAGTGAGAGAGAGAGAGAAAGAGAGCAAGAGAGAAAGAGAGAAAGAGAGAGAGAGTGAGAGAGAAAGAGAGAGAGAGAGAGAAAGAGAGCGAGAGAGAGAGAGTGAGAGAGAAAGAGAGAGAGAGAGAAAGAGAGCGAGAGAGAGAGTGAGATAGAGAGAGAGAGAGAAAGAGAGCAAGAGAGAAAGAGAGAGAGAGAGAGAGAGAGAGAGAGAGAGAGAGAGCAATCGGTTTTTTTCATGAAAGAGGTATGGGTAATAATCACACCTCAAGTGATAATTTTTTTTTCTTAAATTCTTAGCCTCTACAGAATAAAATTCATAACGTGTTGTTGATTTTTATCTAGAAAATTATGACCATCATAAATTAATTGCATTTGTCAGACTTGAATTGTTTTTCTAATATCAAATTTAACTTATTGAGAAGTGGTTAGGATTTAAACGAAAAGTTTAGGCCTAAAGTGAATTACACAGATATTTCCCCAGAAAAATTTACTACCGGATGAAAACGACTTATACAGCTTTTAAGCCGCGGCCGACTAATAAATAGATTAGAAGAAATGAGCGTGAATGGAACAAAGCGTTTGTTCTTCTTCATCACGGTGAAGTTTAATTACTTTTCGCCCGGCTGCGGGAATAAAATGAAGAAAGCCGTGAAGTTGGAGTAAATGGTCGGGCCTAGCCTGACGAGGGGGCAATAATCTAAAGACTGTCCGGACTTAGCGGCATGGCTGTCATTAAGTACGACTCTTTCCCCAGCCCCCCCCCACATTCAACCTGGACGATAATTAATTAGATTTGAACTTTTTCTCATGAATTCAACGACTTTGTCACGGACAGCGATATTGGACTTGCTTTGTTTTTTATATTCCTGAAAAAAAGTTCCGACCACGAGAACGGAAGGCTATTTCGTTAATTTCCTTAGCAAAAGACTGTACATTCTTATTAATCTAAATTAACTTTAATTATAAAAATCCTAATATTCATCATTAAAAGTTTTTTAAGTGGCTTACACAATATTTTAAAACTAATTCAGATCGTGTTTCAAACGAGACAATCATTTCTGAACAAACTCATGCAAATAAAAGCATGCTATGCGGCAAGAATACTTCAGACTTTTATTTTAAAACTACATTAAAATATGTTAAGGACACTGCGATATAATTGTAATTTTTATATAGTCTCAATTAATCAACTTTATCGATTCGATAACACATATAGTTAAAAATAAAGGCACAATAACAAACAAAACAAAAAAAACACTTTTTCAGGAGAAAATATAGTATATCATGTGGCAAAGCGTATAAAACAAATTATTGAATACTATTTTCCAATTCCTTTGAAAAAAAATTAAAATGTTTTCATACTGCCATTGTGCAAACTGTACAATCAGACGAATAGCTTAAGAGAACGAACGACCAGAACAAAAGTCTTCTTCAAAAAACGACCAGGTATTTTTGATATTCTGATTTTGGCTTCTTTATTTGACGATCGTACTAAAAACGGTAGATTTTTTTAGGCGACACGCTACCACTGGATTAAATAGATTTTTTCTTGGCATAAAACTAGGGTACGCGAACGGAAAAAAATAAAAGCTTTGTTTTTAAAAGAAGAAACTTTTTTTATACACAAGAAGAAAATGTCAAATTTATGATGTTGGTTTCTTTATTTGACGATCTTGCTAAAAAAGTATTTTTTGTTTTTACTTGATACACCACCAATGGATAAAATGGATTTTGTCGTGTCATAAAACTTGGGTACGCGAACGGAAAAAAAATAAAAGCTTTGTTTTTAAAAGAAGAAGAAAATATCAAATTTATGATATTGGCTTCTTTATTTGATGATCTAACTAAAAAAAGTCAATTTTTTTAGTTGATACACCACCAAAGGATAAAATGGATTTTATCGTGTCATAAAACTTGGGTACGCAAACGGAAAAAAATAAAAGCCTTTTTAAAAACAAAAATGCCAAATTTATGATATTGGCTTCTTTATTTGATGATCTTATTAAAAAAAGTAGATTTTTTAGGTAACACATCATCACTGGATAAAATGGATTTTGTCTTGCCATAAAACTAGGGTACGCGAATGGAAAAAAAATAAGAACTTTTTTTAAACACAACAAGAAAATGCCAAATTTATGATGTTGGCTTTTTTATGTGACGATCTTACTAAATGAAAGTAGATTTTTTTAGGTGACACAACACCACTGGATAAAATGGATTTTGTCATGGCATAAAACTAGGGTACGCAAACGGAAAAAAATAGCAGCTTTTTTTTAAAGAAGAAAATGCTAAATTTATGATGTTGGCTTATTTATTTGACCATCTTACTAAAAAAAAGTAAAAATTTTTTAGGTGACACGCCACCACTGGATTAAATGGATTTTGTCGTGGCATAAAAATAAGGTACGCGAACGGAATAAAATATTTTAAAAAAATTTAAAAGAAGGTAAAGAAGGAAATGCCAAATATATGATATTGGCTTCTTTATTTGACTATCTTACTAAAAAAAGTAGATTTTTTTTAGGTGACACGCTACCACTGTATAAAATGGATTTTTCTTGACATAAAACTAGCGTACGCGAACGGAAAAAAACAAACGCATTATAAAAAAAATGTCAAATTTATGATATTGGCTTTTTTATTTGACAAGGATCTTTAAAAAAATGTCAATTTTCCTGGGTGGCACATAACGACTCGATAAACTGGAAAATTTCTTACCATACGACTAGAACACGCTAATAAAAAAACAACCTCTTCTTTTCAACAAACAAAAAAGAAAAAAATCCTACAGTTTTAGTAGTGGCTTCTTTATTTGCAAAGATATTTCAGAAAAATTAGATTTGGTTACTGAGTCACGACCACTGGACAAACTGGACATTTTCTTGGCATACGACTAGGGTAAGAGAAAGAAATTTTTTCCTGGCAAAAAAGGAAGTATAAAACCCAAATAGTCTATTGGTTTATTTATTTGGCAAAGATTCTAAAAAATTAGATTTTATTACGAGACACACTGCCACTGGGAAAATTGGACCATTTCGTGGCATAAGATTAGGGAACGCGAACGGGAAAAAAAGAACAAAAGAAGAAAATGCCAAATTTTTTCTATTGGCTTCTTTATTTGTCAAGTATCTTTCTAAAAAATGGCAATTTTGTAAGGTGGCACATCACGACAGGATAAACTGGAAAATTTCATAACATACGACTAGAATTGGCGAATAACAAAATAACATGTCTTCTTAAAAAATAAAGAAAGAAATATAAATAAAGTAATAAAATCCCAAACTTTTCGTAATGGCTATTTATATTTGGCAAAAATATTTCTAAAAAAATAGATTTTTTTGTGATTCACAACCACTCGACAAACCGGGCAATTTCATGCCTAAAGAAAAAAAGAACAAAAATTTTCCTTGACAAAAAAGAAAGAATAAAATCCCAATTTTTTTTCATATTGGCTTCCTTTTATGGTAAGAATCTTTTTTTTAAAATCGATTTTAATGCTGGTTGCCTGGATCCGGCACTAGGTAATTTATTGGGTCCGTCTTCACTCGCAGGTTTGTTGAACTGCTCAATCGCGATTTGGCATTGTGCCATCTTCAGTGAGGAACTTGAAGTTGGAGATCCTGACTCGTGATACACCACCACTGACAAACTGGACAATTTCTTGCCAGTACTAAAAACTTGAGAAAATAAATCTTCGTTCCCGCCTCAAAAAAATGTAATTTTAAACCAAGCATACGTACAATAATATCTTTAATAGTGTTATCTCAATTTTTCAACAACCTCTACAATAAATGTATATAAAAAAGTATTAAAAAAATAAATGATATCTCATCATTTTAAAATATGTCTGATTTGTATGCTCACTATTTATATTGGACGTTATTCATTAATTTAATTACAATAATTATTTACGGTAATGACTTAAATACAGACAATACATTGACTTTAACAGAAAGGCTAGTGCACTCTCTGAACATGGGGAAAAATATTTTCTCAAAAGGTACATGAAAAATTTGAAATATATAATCTCAACATTCTTTGAAAATCATGATCAATTATTTAGATAAAAACAATATCAGTTTTTAAATAATATATTAGCCATTTGTAGAAACAGTGAATATGGTTTGATGATTTAATTATAATTAAAAAAAATTATTGAATGTTACCCTTTTTGCAGTTTTTTGTAAAAAATGAAAAGGGTTCAGTAAGTGTAAAAGTGGATAAGTTTCTTACTGTGTTCTTGTGCCTGTGTAAGTTGGAGAATCCTTAACTTGAGTGACCTGATCTCGCCAGCAAGTCGAGCCACTTCTGCTCTATTTTCTTCTTCTCTTTGTTCCAACAGCGTTGCGTATCCCTCTCCCGGGGTCCCTGGAAAAGAGGAAAATTCAGTACTCTCGAAAGTCCAACGAGTGACTTCAAATCCAACTTGATAATTGGACTTGATTATCTTCCAAGAAGGGTTTAACTACGGTTAAAAAGCATTTGTAGATCGCTTCCCGACAATATTTTACAAGGTTTAACTTGTTCAGGGGGTGTTCTTCTAGTTTAAAATGAGCAGCAGCAAAGTTGTAATGCTTGGTATTAAAACTTTTATAATAACCAAGCTCTCTCACCGCCTCTTGACCAACGTCAGTAATTTTCTCCACCCTCCCTAGCGATATTGTTTAGAAAATGTTATTTCATTATTTTCCAATGGTTGCAACCCTTTTGAAGAAACTTCCGCCTTTATTTTAATTACGAAATAATTGCCATTTTAAAATTAAAATGGTTAAATATAAACGCCCAACGCTTACATGTTTATATATTTTTTAAATAACATATGAGATGTCAAACCTCTAAATTTGATTACGTTTGTAAATCGAGTCGTACAAACGTCAATATCAATTTCGTTCAGTTTGTACAATCGATCAAACTAGCATGATGAATTTATGTCATCATTGATAGCATTATTATCGCTGGGTTGCTGTAGACCGACGTCTCTCATGGGATTAATTCCCAATTACAAGTTATCACATTAAACTCAATATTACGCACCATCGGCTTATCGATTATAACTCAATAAGATCTATGCATTATCACAGTACCTAGGTCAGATAATAATCAATGATAATTATTTCCGTTACAGTGTATTGATCAAAAATTACATTTAAGACTTAAGATATTTAAGATACTAACAGTATTCGTTACTGTACAGATGATGATGAGTATACTAGGAAGCGGGGGTTTGGTATTCCCTAAGCACAGCAGCCTTTTCCTAATTCCTTAGTTCACTTCTATTATCTCGATCCCTTTTTTAAGTAGGAGGTTAGATCATTGAGATTTACAGGATGCCCCTGTAGGTAGAAATTTTTCCGCAATAAGTAGTAGTTTGGTCTTGACATTGGTCAAGGTTATAAGCTGGCTAAGGGTTTTGGAGGTTTTCGATACATCACTGGTACTATGGAGAGAAGGTTGGTAATCCGCAAGCTCCCCAGCTTTTTGGCTAATTGTACTTTTCGCAGTTCCTTGGTTCAGAGAATTATTATTTCAGTTATAGTGTATTGTTCAAAAATTACGTTTAAGGCTTAAGATTACCCAGCCAGCAAGCCCTTCAGCCTTTTGGCTTATTGTACTTTTCCTAGTTCCTTGGTAAGTTCAAGGCACCTGGTAATATTGCTATGGACCTCAGGTTTTTGAGTTTTTTCATACATTCGCCGCTACTATGAAGAGGAGGTTATAATCCGCAAGCACCGCAGCCTTTTCTGTTATTGTACATTTCCTAGTTTCCTTTTTTTTTAAGAGTAGGTTATTGGCCATCAATGCTGCAATTCATTTCCCAGTTCTTCTTCATATTCTAGGTTATGTCATTGAGGTTTGCAAGATGTGCCTGCAGGCAGAAATATTTCGGTAATAAGTGATGGACTTGTCATGACATTGGTCATGATTATAAGCAGAGTAAGATGATGATGATGATACGAGGAAGTGAGGGTCAGTCTCTGTCATTTCTCGACTTTGTCCTTTTGCTCAGTTTGGTCACACTCTAAGATCCCAATTATAAGTTCTAGGCACCTGGTAAGATTGCTACGGTTCTCAGGTCTTGGAGTTTTTTGATACATTCGCCGCTACTATGAATAGGAAGTTGGTAATCCGCAAGCTCCCCAGCCTTTTGCTTTATTGTACTTTTCCTAGTTCCTTAGTTCAATTGAATTAACTCGATCCTTTTTTTAAGTAGGAGGTTAGGTCATTAAGATTTGCAAGATGCCCCTGTAGGTAGAAATTTTGCCGTAATAAATGGTGGTTTGGTCATGTCATTGGTCAAGGTCATAGGTCATTTCCCGGGTTTTCTTGTTACTCAAGGTTAGGTCATTGAGGGTTGCAAGATGTGCCCGTAGGTAGAAATCTTTCGGTAATAAGTGATGGATTTGTTATGACTTTGGTCAAGGTTATAAGTAGGGTAAGATGACGATGATGATACGAGGAACTGAAGGTCGGTCTGTGTCATTTCACGAGTTTGTCCTTTTGCTCTGTATGGGTACACTCTGAGTTCCCAATTATAAGCTCTAGGCACCTGGTAAAGTTGTTATATTTTTCTGGTTATGGAGGTTTGAGATGCATTCGCCGATACTAGGGAGAGAAGGTTGGTAATCCGCAAACACCCCAGCCGTTAGGTTTATTGTATTTTTCCTAGTTCCTTAGTTCAGTTCAATTAACTCGATCCTTTTGTTAAGAAGTAGGTTATTGACAATCAATGCTGCAATTCATTTCCCGGGACTTCTTGGTACTCTAGGTTATGTCATTGAGGTTTGCAAGATGTGCCCGTAGGTAGAAATTTTCGGTAATAAGTGATGATGTCATGACTTGTCATGATATTGGTCTTAGTTATAAGCAGAGTAAGATGATGATGATACATGTGTGGAAATGCTCTGAGATCCCAATTATAAGTTCTAGGCAGCTGGTAAAGTTTGATGATTCTCAGGTTTTAGACGTTTTCGATACATTCGCCGGTACGAGGTAGTCCGCAAGCACCGCAGCTTATAGAATTATTATACTTTTCCTAGTTCTTAATTGTCTCGATGTTTCTTTTAAGAATAGTCGGTCTTGACAGTCATTGCTGCAATCCGTTTACCCATGTTCTTCTAGGTATTTTAGGTTATGTCTCTATTGACCAGTTGCTTCAGATTCAAAGATGTTATGGGTGGCAATGTTTTCTTCCAAGTTAAATAATCTTACATGGCCTACAAATAGGGTTATCATTGCGTATACCCATTTTCGCAGATAGCTGACTGCAGTAGAGGCTTGTCACTTACCCTGAGCTTCACACTGTTTAAATGTTGCAATGTGTGTAGCAAACACAAAAATTCGTCGTTTTGCTCTGACCCATTCCGACATCTTTATTCTGAGGTTGTTCTGGGCCTTTAACTGGCTTGCAAATCCTTGGACTAGGTTTGTTAGTTCTATACATAATAGTCACCTGCGATCTGGCAGCCATGATATGTTTTCCCAGGTGTTAAAGGTTTTGGATAGATTTGACGATAGCAGGAAGCAGGACTTTAGTGTTCCACAAACACTCCAGCCTTTTAGCTTATCGTACTTTTCCCATGTCTTCATGATACCGTAGATTATGTCCCCTATTGAGCTTCAAGGAAAATATGGGTTTTGTCTTCCCATTACATAGACTACAAATGTGGGTTATCGTTGAATATACCCACATTGTTGAGGTGTGTTCTCAGATACCAATAAATTATCCCTACCGATCCTCTGAGTTTTACCCTCCCTTGTTGTAGCACTATATTTGGCAGATTTGACTAAGGTTCTTTAACTATGGGTTTACTATACTAGTCATCTCTAGAGTTCTTCCAGATATCTTTGATTTTGTCCAGAACATTCTGACCTACAATAACCCGAATCTAGGTTCTAGTCCTATTATTATTGATCTTGCAGTTCTTCCGTCCAGATGGCTCCTTCATTACTCAAAATTACGTGTACCTAGGCAGCCTTGATATCGTTAGGTTTTGTTTTCCCAAGATGTCTGCCAGCTATCTGCTGGTTCATTACCCAAATATCTAATCGGTAGGATCTGTTCCTTTTACGACTAATATAAACCCTGAAGCGTTTTTTTGAAAGATGAGAAAGAAGGAAGAGTCGGTTTTTAAGTGAAAGAATTACGGGGGATGTATTCAACGGTAAAACTTGGACGGCCCGGCACAACTTACCGTTCTAAACGACGCTTTAGAGCTTCTGAACTTTTCTTTTCTCCCCTTCTTTAATCGTGTTCCCTTCCATTAGTATAACAGTGGGGATATTTTGCGCTTCGCACAGTTGACGCCTACTTTGCGTCAAACTTCGAGACGGAAAAATTAAACTAAGGCGATATTTAGAAAAGCTCTTTGTGAAAATCGTTTCACACCCGGAGTATTTTGTAAGGGTGAAAAAGAAAACTTTTTCTTCTTTAATAGCCTCACCGTTTAGTTTTGATTTTATACCATTAAGAATTTTTAATGCTAATGTTATTTTTCATTTAATTTGTTTTAAACTTCTCCCAGCGAGTAAATCTTAAAAGAAAAGTCATACAGGTAAAATATTTTGAGAAAAGCGTAATAAATAAAGATTAAAAATTGCAACAACATAGAAAATACAGTCACGTATTTATTGTAGTTTTCGTTATTAGGAAAAATTTAGCCAAAAAAAGTTAAAACTTTATTTGAAAGTTAACCTTTTTAAGTCACTTAAATACCCTTTACATTTGTTATGCAGGCGGCTTTCCTTGATAGGCAGGTTTAATTGTCAGAGTTGGGAACAGTATTTAATGGAATTCACAAGAAACTTTTCATAGCAAAGAACTTCTGATCCTAAATGTAAAGGACGATCTTCAACCCTTTGAATTGTTTGATGGGGTTTCATTTGACTTTCGTCCTGACCGCCTCGCTTTTCTGTACTGAGATTTTTTTAAACTCATCTTGATTAATCTTCGAGGAAACTTTATTAGAAAGGAAACAAAAGCCCGAAAGTTTTTGGAAACTACACTAAACTGTGGTAAGTAGAATTGCTTTTTGTCGAACTTTTAAGTTAGCCTTTCTCAGCTTTCTACAAGAAGAAATCACCTCCGCTAAAGACAAAGCACTGTTTTTCTTTCAATAAAGTGTCGACAGAACTTTCGAAAAAAAATTATTTTAGCGAACTAGAACCGAAATGTATCATAAAGCGACACTAATTTACGAACAACTCTACATATAAACAAATCAGAAATAATGAAATGTGTTCATGTGGCAATTTATTGGGTCCGTCGTCACTCGGGGATTTGTTGAATTACGCGTTTTGGAATTGCGTCATCTTCAGTAAGGAATTTATTAAAAATTCAATTTTAAAATGTTCATTTTTAAATTATTATT